TTGTGCTCCATGAATATATTATCCTCCAATGGTGTTGCAGATCTTATATGCTAAGCAAAGATAAATGTCAGTGTGACCTTACCTGTATGAACTATTCTTTTTGATGCACAAGGTGTCATTATTTGGTGAGATATCAAGGGCAACATTATCCTTTCATTGGGGGAATGTCAGAATTGTTCATATACAATCATTGGTTGAAAGGTGATAGCATTGAATTAAGAGAGGAGCAGTCAAGCATTTTCACAGGTCTATATATATGCTGTTATAGGAGTCTTTTAGGGTTAATGGCCTTAAAAAGAGACTAAGAGTAAGCTGCAGAAGAGAACTCTCGAGCTCCAATTATTGAACAAAGTTTTTCTGTGATTTGCAATGATGATCTATACAAGAAAAACCCACTGACTCGGGCCTTATGTGTGATCAATGTGCTAAGATGCTGCTGCTGTCTAATTGTTGCAGAAAGGGCTGGATTGAGTAGTGAGTCTAAGTTCCAAGCTGCTGTGGTCATTTTTGAGGGTTGTCACAGGTATAACTATGCTATTTACACTTGCTCAGTAGTTTGCTTTGAACTGAAACATGCTGAAATGGATTCTGAGCTCTTTAATCAGTAGATAAGCTTGTTTTTCTGCATAAATTATGATTCAAGTGCAAATTGATTAAAACTAGCTATTCTATGGATTATCTATGTGCTAGCAAGTCTATTTTGATGATTCAAAGCTGTTAAAATTGGCTGTGGTGCAAAACATTGATAGATTGTGATTATGACCTTGCAAAACCCCATGAACAGTGTAGTACTGTGCTTATTCAAGAATTGGGATTGAATCTTGATATATATACTCATGCTATGCTAAATTTTTTAAGGATGTTAACATGAGTACTGCAGTGAAATAAGACTATGGAAGCTACTGGTGAACTAATCTCGAAGGAAAATTCCAATTTTACCCCTCAAACTCTAGCTGCAGCAGTTTAGTGATTTTGAGGCAGTAACTTGGTGTTTTATGTTGCTTAAGCTGTTTCACTTGTAGAAGGAATTTGACTAAATTGTTTGTCATTTGTAATGATGTATATGGAGTGTTATATGAGCCTTGTTAGTCCAAGCAAGGGTGCTTAGGATAGGGGGAGTGAGTGTGTGCACTGAAATCAACTAGTGTGTGTATTGGTTGTGAAAACTAGTGTCCATTCTTGTGCTTGGGTGTGTGCAGAGGGTGAGACAGCTAAGTGTGTGACAAGGTACATACAGCTAGTAGTGAACTTCATTGGCTAAGGCCAAGAACCAAGGTTTTCCCTAGTTAAAAGGGTTTCCTTGTAAATCCTATTTTAAGTACTTATTGTATGCTTGCTGAAATATCTTATTGACTCTGTTGAAAAGAAATTAACCAATTCACCCCCCCTCTTGGTTCATCAATATATTCGGAAATACAATCCCATTTCTAGCACCCTCACCAATTGGACTTCCATAAATACAATCCAACTGCATTCTCATCAATTCATAAATGAGTGTAGTGGCACCTATCACAGATTTCATTTTTTAATAATTAAAATATGTTATCATTTTAGATTAACTTTAATTTGAAAAAGAAGAAGGAAAACAAAATGAAGTTATTACTTGATAGAGGTTTTCTACTCTGATAATAATATTAGTGTTTCCTCAAAATTGGGACACTTGGAATGTGCGAGCATGCCAGAATTTTGAAAGATTCAGAGAGGTCGAACAAAAAGGAAGATCATTTTGGAAGATCAAGCGATTATGAGGTTCCGGATTTGACTTCGATAAAAGGACTTTTAGTTAAGACTACAATGCTATCTAATGAATTGAAGTGCATGAATGTAAAGGAATTGAAATGACTTATATTGAAATTGCTTGAATTGAAATACAAAATATTGAATGTTGATTGATGTCGTTGAGAGAGTTTGAAATGTAGTCCTAAGTACACTATTTATAGGCATTACAAGCCTTACAAGAAGGACCCACGTCCTATAAAATAACTACCTATTTCTTGTTTACAAGACAGTTGTCTAATGTCTAACGGTAGAATCCTAACTTCCAGACCCACGAACTGTTTCCTTCTTCCGCTGCTGCCATATGTCCCACATTCTTTAACTACTTATATATATATATATACACATCTGTATATATATATACCACATCCTTCAACTGCTGCTACTTCATTCCTTTTGAAATGGATTGCGTGCCTAACCATGATCCCATTATCCCTAGATTTTAGGAACCACTTTCCTTAACTACTCCTTAGTTTTAAATCGCTTAAAAATAGGAACTTCTAAATTGAGTTAGGCAGTTTATAGCAGTTCTTATACATGTCAAACTTGTTAGGCCAATCCCCTCCTTGATTTTGGGAAGCGAACTATCCAAGAATTCCCATTGCCAGTGGCAGAAGTTCAACTTCCAAACCCACGAACTGCAGTCATTTTCCAGCGATGCCATCTGTCCCCATGAGTTATTCCATGATCTTTCAACTACAAACCCATTATCCAAGTAGAAGATATATATATATAGTTTTCGTAACTTGTAAACCGATTGTTAACCTACTACCTTCAAAATAGGCCTTCATCTCTTATCCTTATCTCTGTGATTGCCAAGTATCCAACCCACTTCCTTATTTGTAGCATTGAGTTGACCCATTCTCTTTTCTGTAAACATGCTCCATGTACCTAGTTAACACCCTCAATTATAGAACTACACTAATTCACTATAGTACCCATTATCCTTGAATTTAGGAAACTAATAAATTATCCTTTTAATCTGATTTATGCCTTTCCTAAATAGCCCAAGTGTAACCCATCATCCCTCTTTTTCAGGACTTGTTTGGAGTAGTAATTAGGGCAAATTTCTCAAAACCCCTAATACTTTTAAAATTCGATCATAAAACCCCAACTTGTTTTCAAAAACCCTTACACTTTTAAAAAGTGATCGTATTGCCCCAATATCCGAATCCGACCCGTTAAATAAGTTGTGAAATGTCAAATTTGACCTTACTATTTAATGTTAAATTAAAATTTAAAAATTATATTTTTTAATGACGATTTTACCCTTTAATGCACAAACAACGTCGTTCACATCCCTAACCACCATTCCACTCCATAAACACCACCATCACTACTGGGAGGAAGCCGTAACCACCATTATCAAATTGGTGCCACAATCATCAAATTTATAATTGGAATCACAGAATTTGAAGCAATTGGGATCAAATTGGGATAAAAGAAGGACTAAATAGGTACATGGTGGCAACGACGAGGGTACTCAGTGATGAAGAAGGTGGGAAATTAGGGTTTCAATGGAAGGGGTAGAAGGAAGTGGTGGTGGAGGCATTTATAATGGTGTTGGATGGTGACGGTGGCGCCGGTGGTGGTTATGAGGTAAGAATGGTGGTGGCAGTTCCAGCGATGGGGATGGTAGTGCGGTGGTGGCCTTTGGTTTGGCTATTCGAGACTATTGCGATCTCACATGGCCGTCGACTCAGTCATTTTCTCAACTTTTTGTTTCCTTATTGAATCACTATGAAGAAGACGACCCATCAAGCCGACCGCCGTCTCCACCAGTTGCCCCACCATTGTAGAGGTGTAATTGTGTTTTAGTTTGTATACTTCGTTGGTATCTATATGAGCGTTTTCTGGTTTTAGGGTTCGTTTGCGATCCTTTTTGCAACAATCCCTAATTCACCATTGCAGAGGCCACCACACAAAGCTAAGGGTTGTGTTTGATGAGTTTGAGACTAAGTTTGGTGGGAACTGAGTTGACCTAGGTGAGCATAGTGACGATGATGGAGATCGCCGGAGAAACTATAAAGCATCAATGACGCAATTGCATCGAAACTGATGAGAATACAACCTTAAACTCCATGACTGCCGGTGAGAAGCTCTAAGGATCAATGATGCAATTACAGTGACCAAAACCAGTGAAGTCTCCGATGAATCAGAAACAGGCACAATCAATAAAATTTATGGCAAGTATCATACAGATCGTGAACTTCCTTGAAGACCCAACTGGTTGGTGAAATCGGCTGCCGGAGTTTGCTATTGGTCGACAATATACTCGGCTACAGGAGGACGATAGCTTAGAGAGAGAGAGAGAGCGTGGGTAAGGCCGTGTTTGGTGCTAAAATTATTAGTGTAATTAGGCCATGTTTGGCAATAGTGTGAAGTGGTTATTGTGATAAGTGATGTGTTGTCACAATACTATTGGATGTTCAGATTATTTTTTGCCACGTCAGCAACAATACGTACTTAAACAATAAAACAATAGCGTTCCACTAATGGGTAATTTTGTAATTTTAAAAAATATTTTTTAATTTTTAATTTAATATTAAAAAGTAAGGTCAAATTTGTCATTTCACAGTCCGATTAACAGGTCGGATTCAGATATTGGGGCAATGTGATCACTTTTTAAAAGTGTAAGGGTTTTTGAATACAAGTTGGGGTTTTATGATCAAATTTTAAAAGTATTGGGGGTTTTGAGAAATTTACCCTAGTAATTATACCCATTTTGTGGTTGAATTATATAGTCAGCTGTTACTATATAATTCTGCCACACATGAACTTTTGCATTTGTTATATGCCGGACCACACAAGCCAATGTATCAATCTATTGTTTGACCATGAATTTGGTCCACTTGTCTCTCCATTATTTGTCCATGTTGATGCCTAAGTGGCTGTCACTTAGGCTGCCATTTTTGTGTGTCAACCATTAGAAATGAAATAAAAGACCTAAATGGACACCTATTTTATCTTAAGATTATTTATTTGAAGCCAATTTAAAGGTTAGTTCACGGTGTCTTGTGTATTAATCGGGAAAAATCCCAATTCCCAGAAGAAAATTTTAAAGTAAAATCACATATTTAAAATCTAGTATAAACAGATAAAAGAGGAGAAAACAATACTCTTATTATGATAATAATATTATTAATTTCAAGTAGGCAGAGAACATCAATAACAGATTTAATATTGAAACTCTTCACCCACCAACATTCTCACATTTTAGCCGTTCAAATAAGTTTGAAGGACGTTAGGTTCCTAAAATGCGCCAAAGGCTTATCCCAAACAACTGCCTCATATTTATTAGAAGCTTCACCGTCATTGGCCGAGAGAATCAGCCGGTAATTCAGACCCTCAACTGCTTGGGTCTCACCCGAATCCACGCTCTCGAACTTCAAGTATGTTTTGGTCTGTTTGTTGTGTTCGGTCACCGCGAATGCTCCTATCTCTTGCACTAGTGAGGATTTTGGGTCCTTAATCGGCTGCCAAGCACCAGCCAAGGATTTTGGGTCCTTAATATGATAGACATCTACCTGCGCCACCCGGCCGGACACGGAGACATATGATAAAAGGAAGGTAAGCAAGAGAGAAAGGAAAAGGGATACAGATTTCAAAGCCATCTTTGGAAGGTATTTGATTTTGTATAGGTCGGTGATTCGTGAAAAGAGAGAAAGGGTAGGTTTAAATTTATAGCAGAGTAACACGCGGAGATCTGTCCACTCTGGTGTAGTAAAATTATGTAAATACCCTTCTTATTTCATTACATTTGCTGCATGAACATGTAACGATAAGCATTTATTGGGCTCTGTTATTTTTGGTATGCGCCTTGAAAATAATCATATTTTTTTAAAATACCAGACATCTATTTTTGACAATAAATAAATAAATAATTAATATGGATCTATTTAATGTTCATATACTCTTACATAAAATAAATGTAGTGTATAATCAAATTTATTAGGTGGACTTCATAACCAAGTAAAGCTGACATTTATTATTGTTTACTTTTTAATATTTAAATATATATCTATATAAGAAATACTTTTAAAAGAAATATTTTTGGAAATTATTAGAATCCAATGATTTTTTTATTAAAGTGGACCATCAAGTAAAAATTATTTATTTGATTATTAATTTTTTAATTTTTAAAATTATAAATATTCTGTCATGATAGTATTTCAATAAATAAGAAAAGACGAGAAATTATTAGATTAAACAGATGATTTTTTCCATTATAATTTATTAATTTATCCATTTGATATTTTTAATTAGTTATAGAAATGTTGGATTTGGTAGAGTGTTTTTAGATGTATGCTGGAGACAAGTGATGTCAGATCATAAGTGAGGCCAATAGTGTTTGATTGTAAGATTGGGTTCCACACTGGAACAACTTTTAATTGTTGGATGCATCTACTTTGAATTTTTTTTTTTGTTGTCTTGGCAATAAATTAAATTACATTTTTTTTGGTAAGCAAGTTTAATAAAATCACATTTTATTATTCTATCTTATAATATATCTATATTGATATTTATATATATATTTATATTGTTTTTAAAAGTGTAAGAATTTTTTTTTTATTTCTATACCTTTTCTAAATACAAAAATAAATAATTTTTAAATACCAGACATCTATTTTTGACAAGAAATAAATAAATAATTAGTATGGATCTATTTAATGTTCATATACTCTTGCATGAAATAAATGTAGTGTATAATCAAATTTATTAGGTGGACTTCATAACCAAGTAAAGTTGACATTTATTATTGTTTACTTTTTAATATTTATATATATATCTATATAAGGACTACTTTTAAAAGTGTAATATTATTTTTATTATTTCTTACATTCTTTTAAATACAAAAAAAAGTCATAAAAGTGTTTTTGTAGAATGTGTTATTTCTTATATTTATTTTATGGGCAATAATGAGAATTTATATTGCTTGCACGTTTTGAATTTTTTCAAACGTTGCAAACCACTTTTATAATATTGGTTGATTTTTTTTTTTAATCAAATAACATTTTAAGTATATAATAGAAGAATTTAAATATCTTGCTTCTTTTGAATTTTCCTTTTGAAAAATTTCAAAAGTCACGTAACATTTTCATAATATTACGAATTTAAATAACTTGCACTGAATTTTCGTTTTGAAAATTCTGAACAGTTACAACTACTTCTATAATATTGTTTGATATTTATATATTTTATTGATTAAAGTTTTAAATATTTAATATTGTCTCCAAGCATGGGCGGTATAAAAAGTGACGGAGTAGGTTGTTACCCATCCTTATTCTATTAAGGGAAGCGTGGATCTAGTAAGTAGCTAATAAAATGGTCTAAATTGCTAAGTAAAATAAGGGAAATGATATTTCTTCCCACCCAATCCACCTAAATTTTCTCTCGCTAAAAATTTATCTAACTTGGGAAATCACTTCACTTTCTTCCTCTTTTGTTTTGGAATCCACGACCACGATGTGCTCGGTCGATGACAAGCAAGAAGGATAGCACGGGATGATGGTGATTGCGAGAGTGGACTGGTTGAGAGGTGGGATCGAGTCAGAGATGGTTGAGCCGGTCTAGAAGGGTGGGATCAAGTCGGAGGTAGTTGAGCCGGTCCAAGAAGGTGAGCTCGGTCAGGATTGAACTGGTGAGGTGGTTGTGAGACAGATCGAGTGCGCGAAAACAGTGGAAAGAGAGGACTGAATGCGGGAAAGTGCCGGAGAAGGAGTTCTGGTTAAGGAAGAGGGTTTTGAGGTTGGCGAATCCGGCGAGGTTGGCAAGCGAGTTATTTTGCATATTCAGGACTCGAAGCTAGTCAAGACAAGTCAAGGTGTTGGGTGTGACCTCTCCTCAAAGATAGTTGAGCCAGTCCGAAAGGTGGGTTGGGTAAAACCCAGAAACGATGAACCTCACTGACGGATGGTGGATATCCTTCGCGGGTTGACTGGTTGGTGTGGATGTTCGGCGCATGACTAGCACGCGGAGTAATTCGGTGAGGATTACAGAGAGATTGAAGGTAATTTGTTCAGTCCAATCCACTGTAGTGGGTCTTGCTTACAGGTATGTGGTGATGCAGGCAGATCGAGCGGATGACATCGAGGAAATTGGTGGCCCGAATCAGAATAGGAGGCCATGGTTGTGGAAGTGGACCTGGGCAGCATAATGAGTCTGTACTTGGTGAAAAGGATAATTTGGCCGCGGTGTCTTTCAACGAGGAAGGTGTTGTGTCGGTGATGTATTGAGGACGGCGGAGATGGTGACGGGAGAAAGTTATGGGGATGACGTGTCATGTCACGTTGGATTCAGAGGATTTTTTCTGTAGATTGACTCGGAAGATGTATAACGGATCATAAAATAATGGGTAAATTACACTCAGACCCCTGAGGTTAGGTCATTTTTTAGTTAGATAAAAATTTTGGTTTTAACTTTCACTTACACCCCAATTTACTTTTTGGCTTCTGATACATATGAATTGACTATTTTACCCTAAATTTTTTGAATACAAAATATATATATTTTTTAAATAACAAAAAGACCCATATATATATATGTGTGTGTGTGTGTGTATATATATATATATATATATTCAACTGCCGTCCCACTCTTAACATCTTCGGCGAATCAGAGTTGCGGAGATTAGGTGGAATCAACGCAGGCGTCCTCTCAGGTCTCCTTTACACTATCGTCTCTGCCCGCCTGCGTTGCTCTCCCATTCCGATGAAGTTAGCATATCTTTGTTTATGATTTAATTGTTAGATATAAATAGTTTTAGATGCATAACAGTCTTAAACCTTTGGTTGGTTGCTGAGAGAACTCCGAAAAATTAAAGAAAGGGAATGTTTTATGATCCTTTGCTTTCAAATTGATAGAATTATGCCAAAATGGTGTATTAATCTAGGTCAGACTTGAGAGGAGGTTTTCTTTTTTTTATGAATCATAGATTGTGAAAACTATGAAATTCAACAATCAATTTGTTTGGAGATGAAATTGTTTAATTCGGCATTTGTTGTTGATTAGAATTTTAACATGAAAACAATTTTAATTTTTCCCAAAATTAAGTAGCTATATTCATTTTCACATCAGAAAGATATAAGTTATCCTAAGGTCAATCCGATAATAGTACCCAACTTGGTGGCTTCCTCTTTCACAACAGAAAATGCAAACAAACTTCCTGTTGCAGAATTAATACCAATTTATTTTCTTGTTGGTGACAACAGAGACAACGTCGGGCGATAGAGCGATGATGGATAAGATTTGGGTCTTCCCGACACTGTGCTTCTTCTTGGTGATGGAGCGGCGACAGTGTTGTTGGGTTTTGAGATCGAGGCAAATCGGAGAAGGTTGGGAGGTCGGCGAGTTGAGTGTCGGCCGCCTCCATGGTGTCCACATCCAATCCATAACCCAAACCCTCATCATCAATTTGGCCGACTAGCTCCCCTGTCTATTTTGTATGTGTGTATATATCTATGATTCTATATACATATACATGTGTATATATCTATACAAATATATGTAGATATATATGTGTGTATATATATATATATATGTTTGGCTGTTTTAAATATCTATATAGATATATATGTGTGTAATTTTGAGGAGTGGTACGGTGGTTTTGTCTACGATGAATTGGGGATGATGATGGTATGAGGAGGAAGAAAAAGAAGGTGTATGTTAGGGAATTTTGGTCACGAAATCAATCAACAGGAGGTCAAAGGGTAACATAGTCATTTAACACCTCAAAAGTACTGTGGCCCCACCAAAATTTGACATTAGGGGTGTAAGTGAAATGTTAAACCACTAATTCAAATATAAGTGAAATCTAAAACCAAAATGTTAATCTAACTGAAAAATGACCTAACCTCAGGGTGTGGGGGGCAAAAATCTCCCCTTCCAATTAAGACAAGACACATCAACACATAAGGGGACCACCACAAATACTAAAACTATTCAACTTTCATATTGGGCTTCTATAAGAAGCTTAGGCCAGGTCAACTAATCATAATGGGCTGAACTCATTAAGAGGGCCCGAGATGATGAGACCCCAAGCCTAGGTACGAGTATATTACTAAACCCATTTTAGTAATAGTTCTATTAGAAGAAGAATTATAATTTATGGAGACCAAATAATGTAAATCCTTGTTATAAAGAAAGTATGATGTAATTCAGATTCTTAAGGGACAAGCAATGCGAGTCCTAAAAGGAATCCATGAAGGTTTTTCCTATAAAAAGGGCTCAGGATCCTCAATAAGGGAGAGACAGAAAAAAGGGCAAAGCCCCCAAAAATAGAGATCCAATTCTCATTGCTAGAACTACGTTCCGACCTGATTCCCACGCTCTATGCGGGATACGTAGGTAATCTAGGTAGTCCTAGGTTCGGTCATATCATCAAAATACCCCTCATCTCTATATAATTTCTCTAGTTCATTGTTTGTTCTATATTATTATTTTGGGTGTAGTAATTGAAAATAATTCATTGACTTGTCAAAGTTGAGCGAATTTTTGCACCTACAATTTGGCGCCGTCTGTGGGAATCGTATAAAAATATATCCCCACCAAAGTTACAACACTTTAAATTAAAATCTCCAAGTCCAGCAACGTGACTTGAAGTTAAAATTTCCAT